GACATCAACTTCTCCGAACGAAACGTAAAGAGAGTACAACGAATCCTAATATGGCTATAAGTTTTAAGAGACGCAACGCAGAAGTCCTATAACGACAACACTCCTAAAGACACTAGAACCTGGAGTGCTCTGATACCAACTGTGCTACCCCCAGATATCTAGATGCGGGTTGGCCAGGACCACGCCTGACTACCCGAGGATATCAAAACAATTAGCAATAAATGAACACAGAATACAATTAAGGAAATATGAATAAATAAAAATTTGCTGAAAAAAAACTAGAATGATAATTCAAATACTGAAACCTCATAATAAAATTAAATTAATAAAAAATTATTCTGATACGTCTAAATTCTCCATTTCTAATACAACTCAGGAATCCATCTGGTGGACCCCTAAAACTCCAACACTAAAATCATCAACTGAAGAACTCCACTACTAAATTATGAAGAAGCTCCTACGTTGTCGAAAGAATGAGAAGCTATCTTTGCTTAGCCCGAACAAGATCTAAGACCTGGAACCGTCCGTTACCTGAGAAAATAATAGTGGGTCAGGTCCACGAACAAGTTCTATCCTAACTACAATCTAAACAGAGACTCGATACGCAGATACATCCTAGATGTCTCAACCATATCTATATAGTCCGTAATAGATATATATATATCCACACTATAGGACTCTCACTAAACTATACTGAGGGTCTCAACCTGAATAGAAGGCAACATGCAATACGCACCTGAGTGGGCATGACTACCTAAGCCTAACAGGGTATACCTCAACCAACATAGCTAGCTATGCATCCTACTGCATATACGCACCCTACTGCATATACGCACCCTAACCGTTGACTATGAGACTCAAGCTCAGATTGCGGTACCATAATTTATATATATAAATTCTCCATCCAAACTAATGTAGTGTCGCTCAACAATTCATTGCCATGACACGACATAAAATTAGGATTTAAGTGTTTTAATTAAATCCCTACCCTTCCTATTAACAGAAAATATAAACAACCATCTAGTATGTCGTTCAACCATTTTAGTTGATAGGACATGAAATCATGTAGGATTTAACTGTTTTAGTTAATCCCTTCCATATGTATGAATAGGTATGAATTAGCGTTGTGACCTAATCCATCCCTCCGTATGACACCGTCACATACCGATGTATACATGCAAATGATCCATTAATGATGCAACATTATAAGCAGTACACCAAATAAGTCCATAGTATCCATATAGTTGATAAACATAAAATTTAAACAAGTCATCAACTAAAAATCCAGAATCCATCCATGTAATTAAACAAAACAAAGTTTACTAATTCGTCAAGTTAAAATCCAGAATCCGTCCATGTAATTAACGAGACAAAGTTTAATGTTTCATCAAGTTAAAATCCAGAATCCATCCATGTAATTAACGAGACAAAGTTTAATAGTTCATCCAGTTAAAATCCAGAATCCATCTATGAAGTTGATAACTTATTTTATTTAACTTAAATTTCAACTAACTTAAAACACAGTCCAGCAGTTGACAACATTAGCATTAGTAAAGTGTCAATTATGTCAAAGAATGATTTAATATCATTCCGAAAACCCACAGAGCATATCACATTCAGTTATATTTAAGAATAACCATTCAAATCCTTTTAACTTACTAGTATTATGAAATGCAGTTAAACATTCCCTATCCGTTTACGGTCTGTGATTAAATAACAAAAAATCCAGGGACTGATATATTACAAGTCAGATAACCAACAGAGTATATCATCTCAAATTACCTTAAAGTATAATTATACCGACCCCTACTACTTCCTAGAACAGCAACACACCATCAAATCCTTCCCTCCCATGGACAACAGACAATTTAACCATTAAATTTTCCTGAGTTAGTTAAGTTTAATTGCAGAGACTAACCATCCTGGGACTATAACAGATTAATTAAAATTATTTAGAAGCCCATTACACTTTCGGAATCACACCACAGCCCCTAAACCTCCAAAAAAATCACAGAACTACACATACTATGTAGTTTTTCATAGAGCAGGCTCCCCCACAAGAGGGAGCCAGCTCTCCCTAGTCCAGAGCCGGCTCTCTTTGCCTTAGAGCCTACTGCCCTTCTGCAACTTCCACGGCCTTCCTTCTTCTTTTTTGGCCACTTCTACCTCCTCTGTTCCTTATTAAACTAACCCTAAGCATCTTAACTTATATCTAGTTATCATATAAGTCCTTTGTTTACCAAAATTTGCATTAACAGAACAATCAAAACCATTTCCGATTCAACTTGCTCAAACATCTACAGGTGAAACCAAACTTGCACAAACAATTTCAGTTTAAATTTTAGAACATACAGATAGTTAATTTAACCTATACAAAGCATGCATGATCTGTTTAATATCTGTTTAAAATCCTAGCGAACATCTAAGAATCCACAGATTACAAGCCAAAGGGAGAGAGAGAGAATAGAACTTGCCTCCGTAGTTTTGGTTTGAAACCTTTAACTGTCCTCTGTCCAGACTTTCCGATGACCTCTCGACTGTCGTCCACTCCTTTGTTGCCCTAGGTTCCACCCATGATCAGACCCCTTCTTTCCCTCCTTGGTTCAGCCTTGGTTCTTGGCTGAAACCCTAATTCTTTCTCTTCTGTTTTCCCTCTCTGTTCTCTCTATATTATATTGTACATGTATAAGGTTCTATACCCTTTTGAAAACCTATAACAATATATATATCGGCACCCAATAAAACCCTAAGCCCAATCCTAATCCATCATGGAAACCTAAATGAGTCTTAGTCTTAGTCGGCATGAGATAAAACTGCCTAGAACCCTAATCACATTACAATTTAATACACTAATAAATTTAATTCAATTACAAAAGAAATAAATACAATTAAACACATAAATCACTCAAAAATCAATTAACAAATAAATTTAATTAATAAACCTTCCAATTCACACAACATGTAATTTAATTTCACATAAAAGAGGAAACCACCAAAACACCTTGCCACGTAACCACCTAATAATACTAAAATAAATAATGAAAACAATAAAAAAAAAATAGTAAAATTCCAATTATATCCCTTTTAAAACTAGGGGTATTACATGTCTGTTATCCAAAACTGTCACGTAGGCTTATATTGTAGAAGTAGAGAGTCAAATCGTATGTATTTGGGTATTAGGACTGTAATTGGCAGACCATTTTAAAACTTCTCAAATTTATATTAGTAATTTCACCAAATAATCTCAAACCACATATTTCGAAAATTTTGAATTACTTCTAAATATCTAGTTGATAAATATAATGGATATTTCAAAATTTTCAACAAGAAGTAAATTACATTTTGAATAATGCTAGGAATGTTTCTTATGACATTCTTAATTTCTCTAATTTGTCTTTTGTACTATTTTCAACTTGGACCAGGATCACCTCCAGTCCCACAGTGTCCCATGTTCTCCATTTTGGGTCAATGAACAGTGTTGACCATGTTTGGTAAAAAAATATATTTTCCTAATACAGAATTTTCGTGTGTATATATATATGTGTATATATTGTTCATCTATACCATCCCTTATTTCATCTTCGTCTTCCCTCCATCATTTTAGCAATCGTTTTGAAATAGAAATAAAATCCCGCCACTAGCAGCCTTCTTCTATCCATGAATATGAATGAAGCCATTTTAGAAATTTATTTCTTTCCAAACAGAAGCCGGAAGCTGCGATTGTTGTGTGAATCAACCCAAAATTTGGATGGTAGAAATTGTTTCGAAATAGAAGCAGCACTTCTGTCAGTCCTAATAAAATTGTAGAGTCTAATTTCCTTCCAAAAATAGAGCAGAGCTAAGCAGGAGTGTATTTCGAAATCAAAGCAGGAGATCGAGTTATTTCCAACCCTAAACAGGTACGATTAATAATTTTGAGATTTGATTTTGAAGGAAATCATCTTATTTCCATAAGAACTTAATGGCAGAAAGAAATATAATTAGGAAGAATATATAGGTACATTTTTGGTGAGAAACCCGGAAATAGAAAATTATTGGTGAATTTGAATTGATCTGCTTTTTTATTGTGGGTTTTCTTCTATGTTTTCTGTTTTTCATTTTTGATCTATTGCTGTCTTTATTATTTGGTATTATTTATCTTATTTGGAATGTTGAAGAATTTCCATGTTCTACAATCAATACTCTATGTTTTGTATTAAGGGTTTTAATGTTTGTTTGTGAGGGAAAAAAATGAGACGATTTGTAGGGTACAGGCCGAAAAAGAGTGTTTTAGAGTGTTACAATGTTAAGGAAATGTTTGGTCGTTGGGCTTGCATCGTAACGTTTTCCTAATTTACATCACTACTTTGTCCTAATAAGCATCCCAAATTCTTCCTAATCTACATTCCAATATTTTTGTAAAGTAAGTCATTACAATTTCTTAGGTACATCGTAACATTTTGGTTACATAAATCCCAAAATATTTGTAAATTGTATCCCAACATTTTCGTAATGTCAATCCCAAAGTTTTCGTAATATATATCCCAACTTTTTCAAAAGGTGAATCCCAAACTTTTCCTATGTTGAATCCCAACTATTTCGTAAGATGAATCCCAACTATTTGCTAATGTAAATCCCCAAATTTTGCATAATATTAATTCCAACATTTTCATAAAGTGTATGTGAAATTATCAGTTGGTTGGATATATATGTTCTGTTGTGGCATGGAGGATTTTTATCCTCGTTTGTCGAGGATATACTTGATTGATACATGCAAAGAAATGAATGAGATATATGTCAAATTTAATTGGTCATACATGTGAAATGGTTTTTTATTTCAGCCGTTGAGATGGAACATACTTGGGATGCAGAAGTAAAATTATTTTTTGTTAATTCAATATTTTGTGCATATGTGAGAAAAGGTTTTGTATTTGAGCCGTTCAGATGGAAAGAGAACTAAATAATATTCAAGACACAACAAACGGAGAAAACGTTGCTGTTAGAGAACCGGAAGTGATGAAATGGAAGCCAATGAAATGGAGTTTGATAGTGAGGAAGAGGCATATGATTTTTACAATGCATATGGTGGTCAAATTGGTTTTAGCATCTGGAAGGAGTATGGCAATAAAGTTAATGGAAAAATTACATCAAAGGTGTTTGTTTATAGCAAGGAAGGTGTGAAGGGGACTGACAAACGGGATGTATTTAGAAAGACTCCCTAGGCTGAAGCACGAATCAGTTGTGGTGCACGAATAGTTATTAGATAAGACAAGACAAAGGCAAAGTACGTAGTTTCTAAATTTATAGAAAGTCACAACCATCAATTCATAATTGCTGAATGCAGCCACATGATGCAGTCACAGCGACAAATTTCCTCAGTCCAGGCCATTGATGTTGAGTTGGCTTCGGATCCAGGAGTTCCGGCTTGTAATGCGTATAAGTTGATGGGAAGGCAGTCTGGTGGCAAAGAATCAGTTGGGTACTTGAAAGTGGATCTTAAAAATTATCTAAGGACGTGAAGACAAAATGAGCTTCTTTATGGAGATGCGGCATGGCTTGTGGATTATTTTGAGACACGTGGTTGTGAAGATCCTTCATTCTTTTATTCCTTGCTACTGGATACTGAGCAAATGATTACAAATATATTCTGGTCAGATTATAACATAATCATTTATTATGGCCAGTTTGGAGATGTTATCAATTTCGACATAACGTAAAAAGTGGTACACAACAACAGACCATTTGCAATTTTCTTGGGTATGAATCATCACCGGGAGACCGTTGTGTTTGGAGCAGCCTTAATGTATGATGAGACAATGGATTCATTTGTCTGGTTATTTGAAACGTTCTTGAAAGTGATGAGCGAAAAAACGCCAAAGACAATTATTACGGATCAAGACGCTGCAATGGCGAAGGCATTAAAGCAGGTGAATAAATTTAATGCATCTCCATTCTTGTATTGTTTCATTCTGAAACAATTGTATTATTTCAGTCGGTTGTGTTTTTTTGGATTTGCATGTTTACAACACGGTTATTAAGTTAATTAATCGTGCAGGTCATGCCGGTGATGAAGCATAATTTATGTGTTTGGCACTTAATGAATAATGTGCAGAAGAACCTACAGATTCTATTTAAACGCGTTGAAGGAATAAAGAAGGTTATCTCAAAATTAATGTTCCAAATTGAGGAAGAGAATGATTTTATCAGGGAATGGGATTTAAGGATTGCAGAGTATAGTGTTGCTAGTAATAAGTGGCTTTTCACTTTGTTAGATTTGAGACATAAATGGGCCCTGGCATTTGTCAAACACGAATGGTCTGTAGGAATGAGTAGCATACAATTGAGTGAAAGCTTCAATGGTTAATTGAAGTATTACCTTTCCAGACAACTTATTCTACCAGAATTCTTCACACACTTTGACAGATTGTTGTCCGACAAGCGGTACAAGGAGTATGAAGCCGAGTATGGCTTGGTGGAAAGGCAACCGGAACTAAAAACAAAGTGCCACATATTACGTCAAGCGGGGAAGGTGTACACCAAGGCAATATTTCAGCTTTTCCAGGAGGAGTTTTTAGGTGCTCTTGCGAGCCAGGCTGTTATTAGTTGCACTGAGTTGGATAACAATGGACACCATGTTTATGAAGTTGCTGGTGAGGACGGGGTGCAACTTCGTGTGAGCAGGACATTTGAAGATGAATTGTCAAGCTCATGTTGTAAATTTCAAAGAGGGGTATTTGTGCTGGCACAGTCTAAAAATCCTTAAAGACTGCATGTTTGTGAATGAGTTGCCTTCGTGATATATAATAAAAAGGTGGACTAGAAATGCTAGAGATGGCAGGTTGGAGGAAATTGTTTCCACTGACGTGAATCCGGATCCTCAACTTGAGATTAGGTGACGGCATAGGACGCTTTGCACAATACTAACTGAAATATCTTCGCACCACCTCGAAGGATATAATGATCTATTAGAAAAAGCACTGGACTGGAAAAAGAACAATACAAATAACCTATGGTTATAGGTTTGCAGAGAAAATTGCAAAGGGTAATGGAAAAAAAAGGATGAAAAACAACAGTGGAACAATTTCTATGTCCCTGAAAGTTAAAGATATCTCTAAAGGACGATTTAAGAGGTTGAAACCAGCCATAGAGTTAAATAGTGGGAAAAGGAGGAACTCAACGAAAACAACAAGCCAGGTATATGTTACTATCACACGCACTGATATTTCATTGTTTAACTATTTGAACATGCGAACAAAATAAATTCAAGTGCATAACACTATATCCTTCGTCATAAAACACTCGTGAGTGGAAGAAACTAACATTTTTTTTGTTTTAGATATCATATGAAACCGTTGTTTTAGGGGACGCCGGTGGCAGCGATAGTCCGTCAACCCCGTCCTATGTGGTAGTGAATGTGAGTATTATTGCAAGTATATTATATATAAGCAGTTACTATTCATTCATAATTGTTGGTTAACATGTTGATGATGTTGAAAAGTGCATTGACATTGTTTATATGAAATATTGTAGGGTGTAGAAATTCTCGTCGAATTTCTCAATGAAGAATCTTATGTAACACCACCAGCTGTATTCCACAACAGATAGCTTAATATTTGTGAACCATGTACTTTATCAATTAACCATGTAAGTACTTTGACGAATTAAGATGCATTATTTTCTTTATTTTTCCAAAATGGACCAAATTTTTTTTACATCTAAACAATATATTACAAAGGTCACATGGGACATATCCCACACCAAACTCTGCCCAAATTAGGCAACATCAGAAAAAGTCACTGTAAAACCTAATGCAAAACAATGATGTAGATCAGTTGGAATATTATACATTTTCCGTTGACCTGCAGCAATAAAATCCCCATAACTCTTGATTGAAAACTGTATGTGGAAAAAAAAATTGACATCATTTTACCATCACACCAAGGATGAAGAAAAATGTTGATGTCAGTTCCTTTTTCCAATAACATATTTACAGTTAATCTTCATGAAGTCCCCCAAATGGCAATTATACTCTTCCATATAGAAGAATCTGAAACCTTTGGCATGACTTGCCAAAATGATGTATTTCTTAGGTAATATGAACAATGTTTATACCCAACCACTGAAATCCTATCTTTGGACAATAAATAATCCGAAGCTAATACAGTTTTCAGGTAAATCAATATCCAAAACTGTTGTCACCCCCAAACCACCTTCTTCTGTAGGAGCAACAAGCTTCGTCCATTTTAAATTTCTCGTATCTGCATAATATCTTCATCATGCCCCATAATGAAGTTCCTCATTATCTTTCATATGCCCATAATCATGTATAAAATTCCCTGCCGCATCCTGAATGACAGTGATATTGGTTCTAGCTGTATGCTCTTTAATTTGCTGATGCAAAAACCTTCTGCACCTGTCCTGGTCCTTCATCCATCTAATTCTTGTCTTGTAAGACAGAAGAATTGCTTCATTAGAGCTAGCACATTCAAATTGCTATCTAATATCCTACTCGTCAATGAAAACATCATTCATAAGATTCTCGACTAACCTCAATTGCACTTACTCAAGAGACTTCCTAATATCAATAACCTAAAATAAAATAGACTTAAACTTAACAAAAATTTCAAATTTTTACAGCCCTTTTAACCAATGTAAAATTGTACAGCAGCTTCTGGATTGGATTCCCACCCAAGACTATAAATTAGAGATAAGGTTGCGAACCACTGCCTGTGTATTCCAAACCAACTAAAATCCGAAAGGCTTTGGACCTTCACCAATGTGCAAAGGAATGTTTAGTTTAAGTCTCCTATGATTTGAAATGAATGTTGTGGAGTAAGAATAATATGTGAACTTGGAAATACATTATCCCAATCCTGGTTCATAAGACCTTGATCCAGCGTTGCATAAACTCTCGTCTGACTAAACCTTTTGGTACCCCAAGTAAATTATCTATTATCCACTGGAATATCAGATAAACAAAGCTGATCAATGGTGTGGTTAAAATCATGTAGCAGTGAATTATGGGGGTTGCCTAAGGCCTCCGTTCATCCTACCTTAATATGTATTGTCAACAATATAAATGTTTCAGGATGATATTGGCGATCCAGCCATGTTATCATCTCAACTATTCAGTACGCCCTCTTCATATGATGAATCAAGTGATCATCGTTTGGGAGGTGATGAGGTAATCATTTATTCCTTCTCCACTAATGTTTTTGTCATTGTTCTCATTATAAATATACTGAAAGAAAATAGTTTACAAAAATTATTTGGATTACATTTGTTGTCATTGTGGTTAATTGCAGACACCTGGGCAAGCACATGTGACGCCAACATCTGGAATGGCAATGACGTTGGGGATGAATCATCTAATTCAGTATCGACTCTTTCAATATTGAGAAGAAACTTGTGATGCAATTGACTTATCATTGATTGTATGTATCCTTGTAATCTTTTAGACATCTTGTACAAAGTTTATGGCCTACTTCGGCTGCCCTTGTTACCTTTGGTTGTCATATAATTGACCTTGTATTCATTGTGTGCATGCTTGTAACATGTTTCATATGTTGAGTATTACCGTATTTTGTAAATCCATTGTTCGAACATTACAAAATGTATGTCTTATTTTGGGTATGACTATGTTTTAGAAGCAAGAAAGGCATAAGAGAATCACTGTCAAATTGGATAGACTGTTTGTTCAGAAATATTAATGTAACCTAAGCTACTTAAAGCAGAAAAAAAATATGTACCAATGGAACACTGAGACCAACAATGGACTCTTGGCTTAGGCGTTGGCAAATGTTGACCCTTTGTCCTGGGTTCGAGTATCAGTATGAATGAGTGGCAATGTCGGAAAAGAGGTATTGTAAAATACCTCCTTTTTCATGTAAGTAGTTTTTTTTAGGGACTGTTGGACAACAATAAAGTAATATGTACAAAACATTCCTACATTGTTTTACCTACATGAATCAAAGACATCAATCAATATAATATGTAAATATAATCCCAACACAATAATAAATGTGTAGTGGGGGTAGTTGAATATTAATTCATGGATCAAAAATATTAATGTAACTCAAGCTACTGAAAGCTTAAAAAATGTACCAATCAAACACTAAGACTAACAATGGGCTCTTGGCTTATGTGTTGGCAAATGTTGATTCTTTATCTAAGGTTCGAGTTCTATATAATAAGAGATATTCTAAAATACCTTATTTTTCATCTTTTTTAAAAAATTATTTTTTACTACAAAATATTACAAGGTAGGACAAAAATAAAGTAATATGCAGCAAACGTTCCAACATTGTTTTACCTACATGGATGAAAGACATGTTGAATCATTTATGTTGGCAATTGTAAGTGGACAATAGTACATTATTGTACAAAAATTCACTCTAATTTTAACTCTCACCATTGCACAAGTTTCACTATGTTACTTGAAGGAAAAAAAAATTAAACCAATCAAACATCCACACACGTACGTACATAATACCTCTAGAAATTCGTACATTAAATCATA